AATTAATGTAATAAAAAAATGACATCGCATCCTGTTCATTGTGGAAGACACAAAAGGTGTCGTCAACATAACGCCTATAAAGTCGAAGGCGAGTCGAATGGTTAAAATTATTTAGCCATGTTTCCTCGTGGAAACCAAGAAAAAGATTAACTAGGATTGGTGCTAGCGGAGAACCCATCGCTACCCCATCAACTTGATCATAAAATTTCCCATTAAAAAGAAAATGAGTCTCAGCTGTAGCGAATGAAAACAGTTTCTTAAGGTCGGATTTTTTGATCGAAAATTTAGGGTCATGCTTGAAAATAAGATCAACAGCAATATCGATAGTTTCATTTAACGGAATATTGTTAAAAAAAACTTTCAACATCAAAGGAAATGAGAAACTTGTTGATCGAAACTCCTGAGCTCTTCAACAAAAGAGAATGAATCTGTGACCGAATACTTTTTAGGTAAAAGTGGGGCGAGAAGAGAACTTAAATACTTGGCTAAATTATAATTATAAGCTGCAATAGAAGATACAATAGGTCTAAGAGGTAGTTGATTGTGATTTTCACGTTTCTTATGTAATTTGGGAAGGCCATAAAATTTTGCTGGTTGTGAACCCTTGGAAAAAAATCTTGGTATAGGTATCATTATCAATGGAACGCTTTTCTTAAGTAAACTAATGAAACATTTGAGTCTGCCTTCTCTTAATAAAGTGGGATCTTTGTCTAGTAGTTTGAATTTAGATTTATCATTAAGTATATCAAAACAAGAGTCTAAATAAATTTTACGGTCTAAAATAACTACTCCATTACCTTTATCGGGCTTGAGAATTATAATATCGCTCCACTTTTACCTAACAAGTATTCGGTCACAGATTCATTCTCGACGAAGGGCTAACGGCTCGAAACGTCAGCTTTTATAATCGTAACGGTGGTCAATTTACCATTTCGACTTTGTTGATATATTCAAATTATTTCGTTACCCCCACCGACGCAGCCCCAAACAGTTTCTCTAGAAACTATCAGCCTTTATTCATTATGGTAGTAGGCCGCGTTATCACTTCTCAGAAACAACTCCTTCACTCCAGGCACCATGTTTACTTATCTCGGAAGCCACGCTCTCCAACACCGAGGCCGCAGAAAACCAATCTTGATTGTGGGCGTCAAAAATGTAGACCAGTGTACACACCTCATATCATGCAAGTAAAGCACAATTTTTAGTTGCCTAAGACGACTGTGCAAATCCGATATTGTTGTAGTCCAAATTTTCGTTTTCCAGTAGATTTGAATAATACATCATTCTCTATACAGCTTTCTAGAGGTACTTGACAAGAGCTCGCGATACTTTCTTCGTGACCGCTCTTGACCACAGCCTTTCTGAAAATTCAAATACCAATTACCTCAAATTCCATATCCGTATTTTCTGTGCGAGTGATGCAAGCTGACACGTGCTCTTTTTCCCAAACCATTCCGACTGTGTTTCGCGGGATCTTTTTCCAGGTTACCAAGGATCTTAGATTTTTTCCTTTCCTGGTTAATGGTTGTCAACACATGCGCCTTCCGCTGGAGTACACGATCAAAGGATTGTTCAATGTCGAACTCGAGGTCCTTTTTCTGTCCCCGGTATCTAGGGGCTAAATTACACAAACAATAGTTTAAGGTTAAAATAGCGCCTGCAAACGTTACTTTGAATTTTATAAAGCATATTTCAGATGATAATCAAATTGTAAGTTTTCGCTTACATTCCTATTAGTCGAGGGCTTGCTCTTTAGGTCTGTCAGTCAAACACGTCGCGATCTTAACCTATTTGCATGTTTTATCGAATGCGCCTACTCAGTCTGACGTGTGAAGTCCATATGTGCTTTGCTTGAAAGCCTAATTGGCCAGTTGTAATTGTTGTCTTTCTTTTTAGTTGCGACTAGTTTTGAAATATGCTTTGTTGCAGACAAACAAATAACTGTATGCGTACTGAATGACTAACTCTTTACATATTAGATATAAGGTCCTAGTAGGGCCATGAAATCGCTGCTGAATAGCTGGCTACTAGTCACCTGGTGCAGTCGATCGTTGCTAAGACTGACGATATTTCTTTGAGCACTGACTTGGTATCCTCGCATCTTTCAAATATAATGTAGTGTTGGTGCGTACAAGTGGCGTGAGAGCCTTCCTCGTCGGAAGACAGCGCATACGCCTGTCAGTGATCTGCGCAAGGGCTTTCCTCGGTAACATGCAACTTGTAATCGGTCTTAAGGTATACTTTGGCTGATCGGAGCCTTTTGACAGTGCTGTTTATCCATTCAGCAGACATACCTGCAAATCCAATGAAAAATAATGACCAATATTATTTGAACGTTTCATTTGCAAGATCTTGGCTGTCTTAGTATTTAATATGGTAGCTGATATTGAGAAAGCTAGTTGAAGTCGTCACAGCTTTTTATCGTTAAAAACTTCGACCTCAAGTCCCTCCAGGCAACTCGGTTCTTAATAAGGTAGCTGGTCCCCCGGAAATAAGTGAAAACAAGCTGTAGCAAACCAGAGAAGAAAGGCTTCATTCAAGTTTAATTTTGGTTGTTTATTTCCGCTGGGCTATCAATAATTTTTGCCAGCTCCGTGAAGATTTGCGGAAAGAGCGGGAGCGGCACGATAACAACATGAGAATGTTCAGCGAGAAAATGAACAAGGAAAAGGAAAAGGTGCAAGAGGCATGTCGGGAGGAGGTCAGCGGTCTGAATAGACATGTACGTTTGAATTTTTGCGTAAAGTCATTTTAAAGTCATTCGGCAAGTCGTTGGATCGTTCGATGATAGAAAGAAACAAGCATTCGAAAGGTCGTAATTGTCTTGTAAATAATTTCTTTGCGTCGTTGATAATGTAAATTGGTCACCGTTTAGATTTTCTAAACCTGACGTTTCGCACGTTAGCCCTTCGTCAAAGCCAATGGGGCATTATGGGTTGTATGTAGTTTATAGGTAGAAAAATAGAGCTATTCTATGGCTTGAAACATGATCAGTGTGAAAAACACAAGAATAAATGAGTTGAATGAAAAGCGTTCGTGAATGACTTGGGGATTAAGAAGATAACCTAGATGTAGGGAAAAACCACAGACTGCCAATGTTGCTAAGAATAATTTGGGAGATAAAAGTGTCTGGCGACTGGTTTGGATGCGTCTTCGTCATTTTTTCGATTCCTTTCGATTCGATTCCATTCCATTCCATTCCTTTCCTTTCCATTCCATTCCATTCCTTTCCTTTCTATTCCATTCCACTCCACGAACAATCCGGTTACATAAAAAAAAGTGAAATTCGCGGAACGTAATCTATCTTTAAGATGTTTCACAGAGGAGTGTCTGTAAACTTTTACCATTCCTACTTCGAACCTGTTTATCTCGGGAAAAAGGAGATCTAGAAGCCAGTCTTATCGCGTAGGTTGAAAGGACAAGGATATACTTCCAATCAAAAGAAACGATCAAGTAACTGTGCCTTCTTGTGGAAGATATTTTCGAGAAGGCGGACTATAAGATAAATTATGGTAAGTTTCTTTCAAGTACTTTGATAGCAAAAATTCATGTTTTAATGTCTGAAAGACTTAGATTGTCTAAAATGAGACGGCCATTTTGACTATTCTTTTAAAGAGACAATTTCAACGGTAATCCGTGCAGTAGAGGTTACATTTTGATCATAAGACCAAACTTCCACACCGATGAGCTTTATTATGTGTACGAAACAGATGTCATTTTAAACTGCTCTCCGGTTTGAATTCTGTTCTTGGCGTCGTTCTAGACTGATTGAACTAACGGCCGGGATAGGGTTATAGGGAGCTGGTGTCTATTAATCAGGATTTACATTTTCAGTCGCCGCTCCTGTTGATAACAAAGCAAAAGCCCGCAATGAGCTGACAGGTAGGCGATGTTTTTGTTAAAATGACGACAATGTAAAATGACCAAAGAGATTAGAGTCTATCTTCGTGTTTTTATTTTCCTCTCAATTTCTTTAGAGTTCTTTAGATATCCGTTTGAGTTTTCTGAAAGGTTTAAATTTCATGTTTTCTAGGCGAAGCGACCCGAACATCCTAAGCGCAAGTCAACCTAAAGTACTGGCGTGGTTTCAAAATATCATTATCAACGGTAAGTATGTGCATACGTTTGATAAAATAAATTTACTTAACCCGACAAACAAGGGGGAACTATTAGAAATAATTTTAATATATCAACAATGTTGATATGGTAAATTGGCCACCGTTACGATTATAAAAGCGGACGTTTCGAGCGTTAGCCCTTTCGTCGGAGCAAATAGAGGAATTGTGGGTTGTGTGTGCTTTTAAAGGCAGAAAATGGAGCCACTATTAGAGCTGACTTATTATGCCAACTATTAGAAAAGGCTTTCGATTCGTGTATGCCGGTTTTGCGTCGCATTTTGTTTATCATGATCGATTTGATTGCTGTTTTGGCGTCCTCGTTGCTGTTCGCTTTCATCCTCAATTCAAGCATGTAATGGCGGACTGTCATCATAATATCTCTTTCTCCGTCTCAAGATCTTCAAAACATGGTTTAATTCCTCTAGCTGCTCCTAGCAAGCTATTCTGGTTTGATCTGACCATTTCTATAGATATTCATCCGAATCCTGGGCCATCAACTACAGATTTTTATTCGAGTTTTGTGGTTACTCAACCGTCGATGGCGCGTAATTTGCATGCTGGAAATATGGCCTATCGAATTACGTATTCCAAAGCTCGACTTCTTCATCTGAAATCTAAACAAGCCATTCATAATCGTGTATTGTATTGTATTGCATTGTAATCTTTATTTAGACACGATCAATTCATCAGCCTATAAAAATACATATCACATACGCTAAGATATTTAAAATTAAAACTACATACTATAACACTAAAGCTGTTTTCCGTGAATGCCGTGCGTTAGACTTAAAAAATGTCATTGATCTTACGTTTAAATAACCCCAGAGACTCTGTGTTCCTTATATCGCGTGGTAAACTGTTCCATAATGTGGCGCCATTGTAGTTA